TATTTTCATCCGGATGCATATATAGTCGATATTATTGGTCCGTTTCAAGGTAGTTTGAATGATGCCAATATCACCAAGGAGATTCTTGAAACAAATAATTCGTTGGTCGAGTGGTTAGGAGGCAACTGACAAATGATGGTTGATAGAGGTTTCAGAGATGTGATTGAAGTCTTTCAGAACCTCGGATATGATGCACACATGCCAGCTTTTCTAAAAAAAGGTGAAAAACAGCGCCAAACCGTCGATATCAACAACACAAGGTTATGTACCAAATCAAGGTGGGTCGTTGAAGCCTTTCACAGTCGGATAAAGAAATGGCGGTTCTTGGATGATCGAATTCACAATTCACTCATTCCAAAATTAAAGGTATTATAATTGAATTATTGAGTTTTTGGATCATAAATAACAGTTCAGTAGCGTAAATAGCAAAATAATTAAAATCATGAATTGACTCAAGTAATATGTGAATTACACCTTGTTTCAATACGAATGAGAAGTTTATTCCTATGTAAATCACAAACTCTATTCATATATTACTTAAACTAGCAAGTCCTGGAACCAAACCCCCTTAGTGGAAACGTTTGGAAAGTTTGTTATCCTAAAAGAAACTTCTTAATAAAAAATAAAAAATAAGAACACTTTTTCTTTTAAGGACATAATACGTATTATTTGTACTGGTTTAAATTGTTGTCGTGGCGCAATGTTCATAAATGCTAGCTCACCTTATCATCAAAAGCTTGCTCAAATCATGCGTATTCGTGTCAGTAGTCGAAGTATACTTCAACAACTCGTAGATATGGGAGCCATTAGTAGTCGTTCTCGATGTAAGAAAAAAATAGAAGATGTTGATTTCGAATTTCCACAATTATCTCTCGACGATCTTCATGTTTTGTTCTTAAGTAGTTACAAAATTAAGCTAGCACCTGCATATGTGGAAGAACATCTTGATAAAGACGGCGATTATATTATTGGAATTGGAGATGATAATGATTTTATTTTACGATGTACCATACCAAGTCGTCATTCGAATGCTGTTAAGTACAAAACTTGGATACAGTATTCATTAACAGGAAAACCAATTGTTGCTTGGTATTGTACATGTACAGCTGGAGCGATGACTCTTGGATCATGTTCACATGTAGTATCTATTATTTGGTACTTGTCTTATGCTCGTCACCATGACTTTCAAGTGTCCCAAGGACGACATCGTATTC